GGAATAACGATGAACTCTTCGTTTAAATTGTCTGCGACAAATAAGAACTGCTAAAGTTGGCTGGTAACGTTGTCGTTCGTGTCCGTATTCAGTGTCAGCGATGCTCGTGGTTTTATTCTGAGCCCAATGCCTCTAAAAGTTTCTCCGCCCACATTTAAGGGGGAACAGCACAAAACCTGTTTTCGGACTAGTGAAAAAGCCTACAATTCTACTATTTTAGCGAATCGATTCTTTTGAACAAATCGTTTAAAAGAACCTGTTCCTTTGCACCAGCACCATGAATGATAATAAAGTAATATAATCGTATCCAAACCATATTTCCAGTAGGCTATATCTTATTTGTATTTTCTGCTACATTTTTTGATAAAGTAAGTTTATTTTCGCTAAATCCGTCAAATCCCATTTACCCCTCAAGATTCGACACAAAAGAACGATCCGCTTACGAATCATCCACGGCGTGAATCGAGTGCAACTAACACATCAAAGCTGAAGCAATTTTATTGACAATCATAATGAATTAGTATTATATCTGTGACATGTATAGAAAAAACAAACTAATTCAGTTTGTCAATTCTGTAGTACGTTTTCCTGCATTTGCATTTCAGGCAGAAAATCAATTTGTGTAGCATTTTAGATAGTCCACCTTAAAGGACCCTTACTACCTAATTCTCTCTCCTCCCTGTTGTTTTCGTGACTGTACAAGACCTCCATAAACATTTTCTAAGGGGGGGTTGAATATATTGAATTTCTTTCCTAGAAAGAGAAAGAACAAAAAATATTGTAAACAGGAATCTCAATGTAGAGTAGTTAGTTCTTCAGTGCTCTGTTCAATCATCAAAGTCTACCACTTACCCAAATTGTCCTATATTTTTTACCATGCTGTATTTATATGTTTATATGTATAGTGTAACTTAATTAGTTTGTTATTTAGTATATTATAAAAAGACCACTAAATGAAAAATAGCTCAAAATGTTTTGCTTAACCTTTACCCAAGTATGTGCTTTGGTCATTTAAGCAGCTAAGCCTGATTAAATGCGACTTTAAACTCTTATTTGAATTAGCAAAAGACATGGAACAGTAAAAACCCCTTATCAATCAGGTAGTTTGATAAAACAGCAAAAGAAATACAAGAGAACAGATATAAAAAATAATAATTAAAAACATCTAAATGTATAAAACCCTAATAATAAAGTGATCAACAAACTTTAAACAGTGTGTAATCAAAACTGCTTAATGTTAACACATGACATAAAGCGTAACCCATGAAGAGAAAAAGACGGTGATTGGGGGTGTTGGACTTGATCTACTCCATCTGTTTTGATCATCATTCTGAATCTGATCAAGGCATAGTCTTTGACACTATATAAACATATACGTTTATATACTAAAAGTGGGCCAATTTAGTCCCGAGTGTTATTAAAATAGTACACTTACAAGTCTACTACATATTGATATTAGTATACTTACTTGAACATTACTTAAGTATAGTTCATGAAATTAACTTGAAGTATACTTCTTTTTCATAGGGGTCAGAAAAACATTCACAACATATCTAAACTGTGCTTCCACGTGTTTCCTTGAACCCCTCAGGAAAACTGAAATATGATCTAACAGCAGACATGTAGTGAGGAGAACACGTGCTGGTATTTTGATGAAATAATATGGACCCCTAAAGATTCGACTCAAAAGAACGATCCACTTTCCATAACTTTGTCTAACACGGGCACCTGTTTATTTGGGTTAATTTATAATTTTTTTGTGGAAACACAAAGGTTTATTGTGTTGTTGCCTGCATGTTTGTAGAGCACTATAAATGCAACACAAACTTGTATAGAATTATTATTTTTGTTCAAATAGAGAGCATAAGTTAGAGCATAACACTCAGAATGAAGCTCCTCCCATCCAGTCTCAGATACCATGTAAACACACCAGAGCACATTGTGTACACTATTTAAGGACACATGGTTCTGGGCTGTGGCTTACAAGCAGACACAAAAGTTCTCTTCTTTTTGGTATAACACAATAAACTGTGGCTTCTTATCAGGAATACATCATCTAAAGCGTAACACTCAGAATGAAGCTCCTCCCATCCAGTCTCAGATACCATGTAAACACCCCAGAGCACATTGTGTACACTATTAAGGACACATGGTTCTGAGCAGTGGCTTACAAGCAGACACAAAAGTTCTCTTCTTTTTGGTTTAACAATAAACTGTGGCTTCTCATCAAGAAGACATCATCTCATCATTACTTAGTATGTGTTAATGACACCAGAGAAGATGTGAGAGTATAAAAACCTGAGAACAAAAGAGCATACGTTCTAATTTGCACTTTCCTTGATCATCTCTCAAGAGATCAATCAAGCATCCTGGGAGGGACTAAGCCACCTTGAGTGAATATAGCATACAGTAGGCTAAGTGTGGGGAAAAAAAATCAGTTCAACAAAACTAAACCACCTCGTTTGTGGTGCTGCAGTTGGAGTTTTAAAAACAGGATAACCTTTTCCATTTGCCAAGACACTTTTTGACCATGCCCGTTTGAGTCAGCATGCTGTGCCCTCATTCCTTTCCAGGCAAGTATTCACAGCACTAATTCTTGAATTGGAGCCTGCGAAAAATTGTAGACCTAGCTTCACGATGGTCACGCATGATCAGCTTGAGGCATCTGAAATATTTACTTAAATTTGCTTGTGAGGAAGTCTTACAAGTAATTCAATACTCATGAACAAAAATGATTAGTAGCCTATGCCCAGAGAACAAAGCAAAATGTAGGCATAGGCCTACTAACCAAATAAAGCGCTTTTAAGAAATTGTGCATCAGTTCTAATCATTGTAAATTAAGAAATGATTGGTGTAAATCATAAAATCAAATTTATTTAAAATCATTGGCATTCAAATGTATTTATCGATAGGCACTGTTTTTGGAAGTGTTTTTTAATGTATCTCTGCCCCCTGGTGTTCATGTGAGAAGTGTGCGCTCCTCCAGACCTTGACAGTTTTTGACTGATTTTAACTATACTTTTATTCTACTTCAATTCTTCAGAGACCTTAAGAATAACATGCTGATATTATGTAGAATTCTAATTATTTATTTTGCCAACTGGCGCTATTAATATAATTGTTTGTAATACAATGCCTTGAATCTGAGCCATATTGTGTGATTTATTAAAAAATGAAATAGAGGCAATGATAATACACGTAATGTATGTATTGTCAATGTCATGTTTGCCTGAGCACTGGTAATGAAAGAGCATTACAAGATCAGCAGTACTTTTATATTAATCTCGTTTGTGATATTGATTTTTTGGCAAATGCTCCAAAATAATCTGTGTGATAATAAAATATAAATTTACTTCAAAATTAAGTTATACCAATATTCAAGAAAACAAAAACTAGTTTAAACCATAAAAGCTGTGAGGGAATCAGACACTTTAAGCTTGGCCAAAACAAAGAATTTTCATGTAATATATATATATATATATATATATATATATATAAATTTGAACAACGATAAAATAGTAATAATAATAATAACAATAATAGACATTGAGATCAACATTTATTATTATCTTTCATGTTTTGCTGAAATATCATGGTTTTGTTAAGGGCGATAATATGTAAAGGTTTTTTAATAAAATAAAAACACTTTCAGCGGTGTTGCATCTTTTTGATTTCCACATTGCTGCTAATATTTTAAAAACATTTAATTTATTTTACAAATGTGTGACTTTGGGTTATATAATCAAGGATCGCTCTTTAAAGGATGTTGGTTTTATTATAATTTTTTTATTTCTATGTAAATTTCATATTCATAAATACAAGTTTACAAAAGGAAACCCTCTTTTTATGGTGCTTGTAAAATAGATAAAAATCTATGCAGATAAGATGTCAAAATCTAAAAATAGTAAAGGAACAAAAATATAATGAATGATGCTGACCTGTAAAGTATATCTTCTGTATTTAAAATGCATTGTAATATATGGAATTGTTATATGTATTATGTATATCTACCCACCAATGTATTCCTGGTGAAGCCCCCTCCTACGTCAGGGAACTCCTCACCCCACAGACCTCAACACGTGCCCTCCGATCTGCCTCAGTGTATCTCCTGAAACCTCCCAGGACCAAGCTCCCTACAATGGGAGATTGTGCTTCCTGCTCAGCTGCTCCCAATAGTGGAATGCTCTCGTTGACCACCTGAGGACACCACAGACCGTGGATGCTTTAAAACCCACCTTTTTAGGAGAGCTTATATCATTGAACTTTTCCTTGTTGTTGTTTTTCTTTTTCTTTTCTAATCTTCATGGTCTCCAAGTGTTTATATTTTTAGCATGTAGCCTACCTGTTTCATGTAGCACTTCGGGATTTGTTTAAATATTAAGTGAAATTATATTATTTGTTTGTGAATTATATTTTGTTATATGCGATATGGAACAGTACATGCTACCTATTGTTGACAATAAAGTATTAAAAAATTCCCACTATACAGTCGGAGCCACCAGAGGCCAGTCTCTTTGAACAGCAGCATCATAAGAGCGGAAGTGACGATGTTCTTTCTAAAGGCGGGATCAGGAAGCGGCGCTGTGTGAGCTATATTGGGCGCATTGAGTCGGTCTGCAAATAGTGCGCCGTCTGCGGATGAGGATCCTCAGTTTTCGATAAAAGTGTCCAGGTATGATATAAAATATGGTGCAGCCACAAGTTCCTTTATTTATACTGTTGCGTCGGCCACTTTGGGTGTTTTTATGTTTAATTGAAGGGAGAGTTTCTTGTCAGGTATCGTGTAAGTTAGCGTTGAACGCGAAGAAATGAGGCGGGACCCCCCAAATGTGTAAATTGAGAAAACTCACTGTTATGAACTGCTTATTTTCATCGTCATGTATTAATTAGATATTATCTCTCCGTTTCATTATTTATGCTTCCATAAATTCCCCTTGTTTGTGTAGTTTTCACTTTCCCTTTCCCAGTATCGTTAGCTCACCTTCACTTTCCATTATCAGTGTTCGGTGATGTTACAATTTAATACACGAGGGTTTTATGAAGTGCTCATATAGCCTGTCTGGTTGGGAATCCGATTGCTTGTCAGTAACGTTACATGTTGATTTTTAAGGTAAGTTAGGGACATTTAAATTTTAACAATAGTTGAAAATTACTGCCAAGTATGAAATCTGGAGTTGAGTAGGTTGTTTTTTTTTTTCTTCGTTTTAATACATTCAGTGTGTAGTATTTTCTTTAGAATTGTGTACAGTTAGTTTTAATAGAGTATTAAGAAACCATGCTTTAACAAATATTCTTATCTTGTTTCTTTAAGCCATTGAAGAAAGTAAACCTGAATTCCCACAACCCTAATAACAATGTCGTCGACATCACAAAAACACAAGGACTTTGTGGCCGAACCCATGGGGGAGAAGTCTGTGAATGCACTAGCAGGAATTGGGGAAGTTCTTGGTAAAAGATTGGAAGATAAAGGTTTCGACAAGGTGAGATTTACCAAGATGTTTCATATTTACTGTAGTCAGCCCCATGGTCATTAAATTGACACTACCTTTTTCCTTTCTTCCTTACAGGCATATGTTGTCCTAGGACAGTTTCTGGTTCTGAGGAAAGACGAGGAGTTGTTTCGGGAATGGTTGAAGGATACATGTGGTGCCAACACCAAACAGCAAGGCGACTGTTATGGCTGTCTGCGAGAGTGGTGTGACTCTTTCCTGTAGTTCACTCTTCTGTTATTGTACTTCGATTTTTTTGTTTTTCCCCCTTGTATGCTGTATACCTATACCTCAATATAACAATTAGACTTTTCTGACATTATTTTTGGACGTATCAATAGAAAATCTTGGTCCAGAATTGCAGAAGCACTAGAATGTCTCTAGATAGACACTCGTTAGATCACTGGTCCTTTTTTGTGTTCAAACATTATTGACACTGGATCTTTAGTTTTCACAGAATAACACAAATTATCCAAAAATCTGTTCATCATATGCAGTTTGCTTCCAGACTACATATGTGATTGTGCAGTAGAGTAAATACACATTCACTGGGCACAACACAGACCCCACTTTCTGTTTATGATGCCGTTTGCAGGTTTTAACTGATGTCCAAATGTGTCACACCGCTAATTTGGGGTTTTTTTAAGGTTTGTGAACTTGTCACTGTTCTCTAATGTGTATTAGGATCCTGTGCATAATGATGTCATATGGTTTTTAATGCTCCCCAACCCCTAAATTGCCTTAATAAAAATATGGATTTGTTTTAACTGTGCATGTGTACCTGAAGATGCGTGGGCTGAATCGTTCTGTGTAGTGTGTAGCCACTTAACTCACATCTTGGTTGACATCTGCTGCCTTGATGTTAATAATGCTGCCTGAATGATACTCTTATAAATGTTTTCATGGCTTTAAGACCATTTTGGAACTGTTTTGCATCTTAATTCTTTTGGAATAAAATATCTCAAAAGTAATTATTAACAGGGTGTGCTGTGAGTGTGGAATGAAAAATATTGGAATCTAGATAAATGTGTTGTTACAAAAGTGGAATTGCCTGTTCGAGTTCAATAAGAGGCATTTATTTAACTAGGGGTTTTAAAAAACAGATTAAATTTAACTTTTTTTTTTACAAGTGACTTAAGTAAAAACATAATCTCGTGAAATTACAAATAAATTTCTATTAATATAATATTCCTGTGATGCAAAGCTGAATTTTCAGCATCATTTTCCCAGTCTTCAGTGTCACATGATCCCTCAGAAATCCTTCTAATATGCTGAGTTCTCTAGATACATTAATGTTAATATCAAAGTTGAAAACCTGCTGCTTAATATTTTTGAGGAAACCATAATACTTTTTTTTTTAGGATTCTTTACTGTCACTTGATTTTTCCATTAAATCTGTCATTGCAGAAAAGTATCAATTTCTTTAAAATATTACTGTAGTGTTAATTTTTCTCCTAAATCTCAATAAGCGATGCAAATACGTGTGATGTTTAAAAGTTTTATTAATTCCTTCGTTGGATTCTGCAGTATTTTAATTCATTACTTGGGACCACAAGTATTTGACAGATGTTCTCTTGACATTTTTCTTCAACGGTTCATCTTTTGAGCTATTAAGAGTCTAGATACCACTTGTTTAAGTGGCCAGGGAAAATGTAATTGTTTTTGGGACATAAATAAAATTGTACAAACCCCTTTAGGAGTGCTATGTATTGTAGGTATTGGTATTGATCTAAACTTTAAAAGCTCTACCACCAGTCAACTAGAATTGTCTACCAGCATACATAGCCACCTCAAACAAAACATTAAAAAAAAATCAAAATATACATACAGAATTTGTGTAGAATCACCATAGTATGCTATGTGAAGAACGCGATGAATTTTTCGAATATAATACAATTTTAAATTGAAATATTCCGACCCACACCTATTTCCCTTTGCTCGATTATAAAACTGTGTGCTTGAATATGAATGTATCAGTGTGTCATTTGATCTTATCCATTTGCATTGACCTTGATATTATCTTGTCCCCTTAATGAAAGGAACAGGGTTTCCAAGAAAGAAAGAAAAAACAGGAGGATAAAAATATCTTCACAAACATGGTTTTGTAAATTTTTGATTCTGAAATTTATAAACCACGCATATATTTAACCTTATTTTGGGATTTATTTTGCTGTGTGTTGTCTTGTCGAGTGTTGTGTTGTGTGATGTGTGCGTACACAAATTTTCATTATTTTTTAAATGAGACTAATCCTGCCCTTCCTGTGTCCTGCTCAGAGGAGAGCACAGAAGAACTTTTTCTCCCTGAACGGGTTTTCTGAAGTGGGCACAGGGGTGATGAGAGGGTCCTCGATTGCATGGGCATCACAGTAGGCCATCAAGTCTGCTGCTGCCTTTGACACCTAAGAATGCAGGATAGATTGTCAGTGCCCAATTTAAAAGCACACGGACAGCTATTGATTTTCAGGCAAGAAACCTAAAGTCAAAAATGTAATTAATAGATATCACAAGGGATGGACATGGTCAGAAACAATGCTCAGGTAGGCTGTGGCATTTAAACAATTCTCAATTGGCACTAAGGAACCTAAAGTGTGCCAAGAAAACATCCCCACACCATTACACCACCACCACCAGCCTGCACAGTGGTAACAAGGCATGATGGATCCATGTTCTTATTGTTTACGCCAAATTCTGACTCTACCATCTGAATGTCTCAACAGAAATCGACACTCATCAGACCAGGCAACATTTTTCCAGTCTTCAACTGTCCAATTTTGGTGAGCTCTTGCTAATTGTAGCCTCTTTTTCCTATTTGTAGTGGAGATGAGTGGTAACCGGTGGGGTCCTCTGCTGTTGTAGCCCATCCGCCTCAAGGTTTTGCGTGTTGTGGCTTCACAAATGCTTTGCTGCATACCTCGGTTGTAACGAGTGGTTATTTCAGTCAAATTTGCTCCTCTATCAGCTTGAATCAGTCAGCCCATTCTCCTCTGACCTCTAGCATCAACAAGGCATTTTCGCACACAGGACTGCCGCATACTGGATGATTTTCCCTTTTCACACCATTCTTTGTAAACCCTAGAAATGGTTGTGCGTGAAAATCCCAGTAACTGAGCAGATTGTGAAATACTCACACCGGCCCGTCTGGCACCAACAACCATGCCACGCTCAAAATCACTTAAATTACCTTTCTTTTCCATGCTGGCATTCAGTTTGGAGTTCAGGAGATTGTCTTAACCAGGACCACACCCCTAAATGCATTGTGATTGGTTAATTAGATCATTGCATTAATGAGAAATTGAACAGGTGTTCCTAATAATCATTTAGGTGAGTACATGTATGTATTGTAATTGAAACTACAGACACAAATAAACGCTTAAATGTGTATTATGGATTTTTTTTGTTCACTGTAGTCTGAGATAACAAATGTTATGGAACCAAAATAGCCCACAATCAATTGGCTGCTGCATGAAAAAAACAATGGTAAATGAGGAATAACTAGACTTTAATACTTAAGTAAATACATTGAGGTTTAATTTTTGGGCTAAAACAGCATTTTAGGTCAAATAAAACTGTATGAGTGAAATGCAAGGTTGAGGTCAACGCTTAATAACTGTTGAATGCTTCAAATTGTACTTGTAGGACACACTTTACCGTGGGATTGTAGAAATAGGTCATACCCATTAACCTGATTCCAGATCTTTGATCACATCTGATAAAAATGAGTCTGCTACATACAGGTTGGTATAAAAAGGCACATTCATATGCACGCAGGATTACCACTGATCTGATTTTCCGGTAGTTTTTGCATGGCAACCCTCACCTTGATTCGACAAAAACTGGCTTCAATCTTCAGCTGTTCCACCAGCTTCCTGGCCTGACCGACGCTCATGGTGCTGTTCACAGGGGTGTCTCCTTTCATCCTGCCACATACACCCACAAAATTACACAGACGTCAAAGCAAAACCTCTTTGAAATACAAATAATTTTTTTGAGAGCCTGATTACAAAAATAAAAGTCTAAACATTAAATCCATGTCTCAATCACACAATTATAATGTTATCATTGTAATTTTACGTATAGCCTATGACAGGCTTTTTTAAGTGATTTTAAAAAAAAGTAACTCAAAGCGAACAGTGTGCATCTTAAGTGTCTCAGCTAAAGGCAATAATCCATTCTTTATCAGCTATAAGATTTTGGCCAAATTTTATTACAATAACGAAAACTTTAAAAATGAACATTTACTGGCTAATACCGATATGTGCATCCCAAATATTTTTGCCATCCTAATCTGCTAACATGCATGCACTATTAATATAGAGAATTAGTGGATATATTATGTACAGATTCTGTGGTAACAAAACATTGGTTACAGTATTTATTAATCCATGTTAACATTATTTAAAAACAACAACTGTTCACTGTTCAGCTGACAACTAATGTTATTATCTAATGTTGACAAATGAAACCTTACTGTAAAGCGTTACTGATTCTGTTGAAAGTGCACACAGTCTCTACTCACTAATGCAAGTATCATCCTGTGGTCCAGGACTCTCATACCCTCTCATTCACTTCCTGTCTTTCCTCTCTTGATATCATTTACTACTGCTTTGCTAAAAGCTCCTGCCCTAGAAAACCAAAACCTCACCTTGGAATGCAATGATCTGATAGCAACACTTTTCATCATCCTGAAACCCTTCATTTCAGGTGATGTCAGAAGTTGTTGTTAATCATCAAATATCAATATATTCACAAAAAATGGTCTGCGTTAATGATTTTGAATATAGGATTTCAGCAGTGAATTGGGGAATGCCAGACCCATTTTCCACATAAGGATATGCTTGCAGGGATCCATCACCACATGGAACATACCATATTATTCTGAGCAATAGCACACAAAAATCAGCCGTTCTGAATGTTATTGAACGTATACATTTAGGCATATGTAGAGTGGAAATCACATGTTGCAGACAGAAAAGGGATAAAAAGAAAAAGAAACTAGGCCAGATACAGAAATGACAATCACAGATGCTCAAACGGATTTCAGTAATCATTTGGAAGACCCTTAACGTTATATATGATGTGGGGAAAATATCCAAAACGAAATTAAAGCAATGCATTTAAAAGGTTCTAAAGAAGAATGGAGAGTGAACGGAGAGCAAGAAGCATAAAAAAGACTACAGAGTGTATTCGTCTATTTTTGTCATTCTGGGCCCCCCTTTTTTACCCCTTTCACTCTTTTTCTTACCCTTGCTGTATTCCTCTTGTGGTGATATCTCTCCCTCCTCTTCTTTCTTATTCCTTCTCTCTCTCTCTCTCTCTATCTGCCCGTGCTGTTGCTTTCAGTACAGCCGGACCGCACCCTCATACACAGTGTGGATGCTACCCAGTTCTGTACAGTCCAGTGCACTGCAATTCCGCTACAATGAACACCACTCTCTTGGTACACACATACAACGCCCCTCTGCAGTGAGTGGAATGTGCCAACCGGGAGGAGGGGGGCCCCAGAGCCCTATTGGACTGATTTATTCTGTGGTGCGGCTCATACCACCTTTCCAGCAGCATGGGGTGGAGGAAGGGGGAGGAAAATGCAACGATGAAAAGCGGTGCATGAAGAATTAAATCTTGCAAGATGAATTTATATAGTCAAAAATGATAATTAAATATTTGATAGCATGAAATGCATATTTTATTCATTGCCGGTGATGCTGCTAAACCTCCGGAATAAGGGAGCCTTCCCTCTGCTCTGTTACCATGGGAACTGCTGCAGTCTCAGCCTCTTTTTGTCTTGTGCTGTGGCACCATTTTGACTCGGTGGTCTCTCCCACCCTGGTTAAGATCTTATACCCCCCACATCTTTACATCACTCCACCCTCCCACTGCATTCATTCTCATGTCACATTCACATTGTTGCAAATCTGCCCCCTAGTTTCCTCCCGAGAAATGAGAATACTGTTAACTGAAATATTTGATAAACTGAAACATATGAAAGAATAAAGGGAAACTGATTCTTATTGGTGCTCAACAACATTACATAAATGATGAATTTGATTCATGGTTGCTAAAAATCTGGTAAAAAAAAAAAAAAAAAAAAAAAATCAGTCTTCATGTTGGCTTTAAAGCTATAGGCTACATTAAGTAAAAAAAAAAAATGTTTATACCATTCATAAATCAACAAACATAAATAGTTTGGGACAGATGAGCCGAAGATATATATATCAATATATCAAAATCAAATCAATATATATATATATATATATATATATATATATATATATATACATATATATGTTTTCTTTTGACACAAACAAAAATAAACAACACATTTAATTTAATTTTTAATTCAATTTAATTTAATTTGGATGTGTTAGGTGTTTTCAAGTCATTTATGAATTGTATTTTTATTTTTAATGTGTGTCACGTCATTGACCCTTTTCCTATTATTTAGGTATATTATTTAGTATAAATAATTAAAATGCATAAAAACAGCTAATGTTTTTTATTTGGGATTTTACTTTTCTGTAACAATTCGAATGAATATCAACCATAGACTGTAAAAGGAAAACAACGTATTTTACACCGCAGCACTAAGCAAACCAACGCTGACACGGTTGTACTTTGTACCTCTTTAGTTGCCGTACATGTGTTTCTCTCACACCAGGAGGGGGCCACTGAGTTACACCGATGGTTGTTTTTCACTGATCTATAGATGGAAGACAACAACAGAATGTTTTAGCTTTTGATTACATTAGATTTGGAGATCATTTGCTGTGCCATGAAATGCATAAATTATGCGTCACGCTAGCACGTAACACATGAGAGGAAGAGATGGGTCGGCCAAGTGGAGTTATTCATCAGTTTATTCTGAAGCATAGTTATTTGTTTTGTCCATGGCGTGTTTTTTAATTAAAGAAGGTGAGTTTGGCGTTTTCTCCCAATATAATGTAATTACTTAACTGACTGCGAAATGGAGACAGAGAAGCACTTAAAATCCAGCTCAGAGATACACCAAAAAATAGTTGTTATGTAAAGAACGCGCTGAAGTGACAGTAAGTTACACATATTATTTCCTATTTTACTGCCTGATTGTTTTGTTCAATTCGAGTCAGGCTGTCAAATGTTCAAAAATACATAATGCAGCACACAGAGGAAGAGAATAGAGATAGATTTAGGTGTGTGTGTGCATTTTTTATTGGGTGTGTTTAAATTGAGTCTAGTTTTATGATTCATCTTGGATTAGTTGTCGCGTTTTCATACTAAAAATTATAAATAGTGCTAATAATATATTCAATGTGTTTTTTTATTCAGTTTTTTTTTCCTCTTATTCCTTTTTTAGGGCACCCTATGACTTCATTGACAGTTACAGACGAACGCTGGGAAAGTAAATTCAAGAAACTGGCAAATCAAACCTTCACTCACAGAACAACAACTACATCCCAATATGACTTTCTGAATATATGTTAATTTTTTACTTTGGTCATCATGACATTTTAACACACTCTATCTTCAAACCATTAATTCTCACTGTAGAAAACAAGCATTATCCGATGTAGTGATGCAGACGGGACGCATTACTGCATAGTGTTTAAGGTGCTTTGAATGAGTAAAGCGGGACAAACGCCTTTTACGGCAGTGGGAGGACTGTTGGGCAGACACCGTGAGACTAGAGGACCTTCACCTGGACGTGAAACTGAAGGACTGCTGGCTATGGGTGCAGCGATGGGGCCGTTACTGATTTGGCTCCAGGATGTGGCGGCGGTGACCCTGCTTAGAGCTCGCAGGACGCTTCTAAGAGTCGCTATCCTTTCGTGTGTCCTGGTTCTTCTCCTCTGGGTCTCCATCTTCCTGTATGGAAGCTTCTACTACTCCTACATGCCCAGCGTCAGCTTCTCCACACCAGTACACTACTACTACAGGTACAGATACATATGGGCCGATCAGGAACATTCTGGTCTAGTTTTGACAACAGGCTGTTTGCGCACGACTGAGTACTTCATTAGGTGGTCCAATGAACAAATACTGTTAGAGGCATTACTAGAGTTTGTAATGCATTGTGGTTGCTTCCTCTCTCCTTCATTTCACTCTTAACAGGACAGATTGCGACGCTTCAGATTCAGTCCTCTGCTCTTTCCCCACGGCTAACATCTCGCTCTTGAAGAATGGACGAGACCAGGTACATCTGAGTCCCACTCGGAGTGACATCATTTAAGGGCTACATTCAGTGGACCAAAAAAAAAAGCCACACTTATTTTTTAGTAGAAAGGGCCTTGTGAATCAATAGGTTCGCCCTAAATGACCCTTTAAAGCTTTGCTTTTTACTTTATGTAACAAGCCCATTAATGATGCACAAGAAAAAATATAATACTTGTGTATTAAATGATTAATATTTTCTGTCATATTTACAGCTAATTTTAGTTGCTTCACTCTTTCTCTTAGGTGATGATGTCCGGTCAGGCCTACAGAATCTCTCTGGAGCTGGAAATGCCCGAATCTCCTGTTAACGAACAGATTGGCATGTTCATGGTCAAAATGTCCTGCTATGCCACTGATGGGAAAGTCATTGACTCGGTCGTCCGCTCTGTGAGTGAAGACCGCTCCCCCAAAATTAGGTTTTTGCTAAACATAAGTGTAGTTTTCCAAGTCATGCATCAAATAAATTATGGCCATTTAACTCATAATTACTTGTTCCTTGTGTGTTCCCATCAGACAATGCTGCACTACCGATCAAACCTGCTGCGGACAATGAGCACGCTGGTGTTTTCGCCCCTCCTGCTCACAGGTGTGTCTGAGCAGAAACAGCTCATCGAAGTGGAGCTCTTCCCAGATTTCAAATCAGACCTTGTAAGTTTGTAAAGTATGAACAAGCCTGACAGGATCGTCATTAAAAAAAATTACAAATTGAGCTGTCCTTCACAGTACCAACCTGCCATTGGTGCCATGATCGAGATTCAGTCTTGCAGGGTCCAGATTTATTCTGCCCAGCTCAGGATCCATGCCTACTTCACTGGCATTAGGTATTTGCCATTGTTTGCTGGTATCAGTTTATTTGATGGTTCATGTTCATCAAATGATGCTTCTTCCTTCTCATCCTGTAACGTTCTTCCCTCTTGCGACAGATACCTCCTGTATAATTTCCCCGTGATGTCTGCAATCGTTGGGGTGGCGAGTAACTTCACCTTCCTCTGTGTCATTGTGCTCTTCAGTTACCTGCAATTCATTTGGGGAGGGCTGTATCCCCCCGAGCAGGTCAGAGTGAGGGTAAGACCATCTGTCTGCCTAATCTGTTCAACCTTCATCCTATCACACTTCCATTGGATACATTCCAGATGTCTGTTTGCATACGTAGGTGATGATGGGAGACTCAACGCGTCTTCAGCAGAGGAGGGAAGAAGCACGTAAACGCATGCACTCATCCTCCAGCACTCCTAGTAAGAACAGTTCGGATCACGGCCGCACACATCAATCGAACACATGAGTAACTAATACACCATTCTTTGCCTGTCCCCCCAGTCATTTCGTATGGAAGAGATGCCAGTGAGCTCCCAGAACAACCCAAACAAACAGTTCGAAACAAAGGTAAACGATAAAAGGGAAATGTGATAAATGTAGATTTCTGTTATACATTCTTTACTTACAATTGATTACAGTATATGCAGTGATTAAGTCACTGAAGAATCATGCAAATCATGTTTGTTTGTGCAGGTGATTTGGACACTCCTAGTGTGATTGGGACAGATGAACTGAATCAGCTGCAAGAAGATGAAGCTGGTAAAAAAAATATTAACTTAAAGGAGTAGTTCACTTTTAAAAAAACTTTTGCTGATAATTTACTCACCCCCATGTCATCCAAGATATCCATGTCATTCTTTCTTCAGTCGAAAAGAAATTTAGGTTTTTGATGAAAACATTCCAGGATTTTTTCTCCATATTATGGACTTTTCAAATTTTGGACCTTGAACCGTTTGGTTCCCATTAATGTAATGACAGTGATTAATGTTTCTGCCATCAGCTCAGGACTCCTCTACCGATGACGCACCCATTTTCCTTGAGGCTCCTCATATCGCAGAGACCAGTTTGAGTGAGGAGGATCCAGATCAAGAGCAGAGGGCAGCAGGAATAGGAAATGGGACTGAAGAAGAAGAAACGGCCCAACCACAGTCCCCAGACAACAGCATTAGACAAAGGCATGGACCCTGGATGAGGCTCTGAGCTCCAATCTCTGGAGTAACCACATACGCACATGCATTCTGTTACATTTGAACACCTCATTTGACTCGTAGCTAGCACATTTGAGACATTTCTTTTGCGATGCAATGAGTATTACCATAAGAATTGTTCTGATGCATTTGGAACCCAGTTTACCTCATGGAGCTGATGTGAAGCTCACCAGAATTTTAATGCTCTACTGCTTTTGTTTTCCTTTACCTGAATACTTCCTATATGACTTAAGTCACTTATAGAGTTTTGCCATGCTTAAATGTGTTATTGCAGAGGTATGTGGTTCTGTTACAACATCAGTCATGTAAAGGGTAACTGAGTGGGTAAAACATCTCAGGATTTCCATTTTATTCATATTTCTTTACATTCCTCTGCACTGTGATTGTTATACAAAATATTTAATGTGGCTTTAGCAGGTTCGTTTAACCTCTGGGGATATTAAAAATTATTTTGTTTCCCCACTTTTAATTATTTTAATGCTAATGTCGAAAATGCAAAACATATTGTAAGAGAACCATGTTACATATTGTGGAAAATAAGTTGAGGACACAGAAGTATAATTGATTTGGGGATAATATTAAAACAAAAATTATTATTTTAGACCATTTCACAAGATGTAAACAACACTGGTCCAGAAACACTTCCTGTTTCAGTTTGTAACCGTTTTCTTTATTTCACATGTAAAGAAAAAATCTTAAAGATGTAAGATGTAACTTTTTGATTCAGTTTTAAATGTTCTGTTGGTTGTATTTTATCCCAGCTTTTATGTAGTGTTAAAAAACTGAAACAGGAAGTGCTTCTGGACCAGTGTTGTTTACATCTTGTGAAATGGTCTATATACAACAATATTCCAATTCTACATGGAATACTAATACTACTAAGTAAGGATAGTTTTTTATATATATTTATTTCATTAATATTCAGCACTATTTGTTCACTCTCTCCAAATATTCACTATTATATCTGCTTTATTCATGTGCAAAGGTTTTTTTGCATATCAGTAGCTTATTATGGAACAGAAGAATGTTTATATTTTGCTCTATATTTCTTTGATGTTTGTTGTGTTTATTTAATAAAACTAAGACTTGAAGCAATCGTTTCCCATTGTCTTGAATAGGTAGTCACTCATTTGCTGTCACTAGGTGGCAACGATGATGTGTTGTGTAAATATTCCTCTGAGCATTCGAAGAAGAATCTGGCGCAGCTGCAATTGGAGACGGATTCTTATCACAAAACACTGTCAAGAAAAGATCTCCTCTGATCTGACAGGAGTTCAAAGCGTTTATCTTAATTTCTTTTGATTTCGTTTTATACACAAAAGTAGGAAAATAACTCGTGGAAATCCTATATTTTAAATAGCAGCACAAAAGCCTTTAAAGATGGCGACAGCGGACGGCTCGCGCTACTATAATGGTAAGTTTGAGCCGTTAGCAAATAGCAAAAGTGATTGTGTCCATTTAAATTCTTTAGCAACAATTATGTTTAGGTAAGATTATCCGCGATCTTATTCGTCCCCAAAAACAATTTTGTACCTCTCTGGGGTCTGTTGCCGTGTAACGTTACTCTACCATTTACATAAGTTACCACTAGCCACCTAGCTTTTGTTTATGTTGGGGCGTAATGTGTTTTTGTTGTTAGAATTTAGTTTTGACTAACAATAAACGCATTGTATCTGTTGATTTAACCGCATTTTGCGTTTTAGTTTGGGGATTTTGTTAAGGAAAATTGAGCGAGGTGAACTGGATCTGACCGCGTGTTGTTGAGGTCATGTTGAACTGCTGTGATATTTTAGCGGAGTTTCCATACGTGTTTTTGTTTATCAAATTTGATACATAAGGCTTTTTGGCGTGTATATCGTTAGTTATCTAGTGAGAATATGCAGTTCATATTCGAGGAGGCGATAAAATAATTTCTCACGAACAGTTGTCACTCCATTTCTCCCAATATGTCTTCTTGTCTTCATTTGTGTAAGGGCTCAGTCGACTTTTATAGAAAGCTTCCAAGTTACCAAAACATATATATAATATGTAATGAAGATATAACCTAGCAAATATTTATATTTGAATATATTTTATTTCATAACAACATCGCTACTGTCCTCAATTAAAAAAAAAATGTCAAGACGAGCACATTGTAGGCTACTAGTGTGTGTTCTGTCCAGTTTTCCAACACACCATTTCTTTTTTAAAATATGACTTTTTCAAAGGTGGACAAAGTACAAAACTTACTTACTTGAGTAAAAGTACAGATACTGGTGGTTTGATGTCAGAACCCAATGTCAGATAAACATCTGATGTCGGGTTTCTGAAGTCAAACCGACTACTCGTTACTACTTTCTACTCAAGGACCTTGACAGAAATGTAGTGGAGTAAAAAGTATGATATTTGTCTTTCAAATGTAGTGAAGTCAAAGTAAAAGGTTTCAAGGAAAAAATAATGCTCAATTAAAGTACAGATACACAAAAAGTGTTCTTAAGTACAGTACTCAAGGAAATGTACTTTGTTACTGTCCACCTCTGGACATTTGCAGCATTAATTCCAGGATTTATTAGCTGTTGGGGGTATAGCTGTGCTATTTAGAGTGAAATTATTTTTTTGTTTCTATTCCAGCAACAAAAATGATATTTTAGGTAATTTCCAAGCAGTGACGCATTTGCACTCTTTTGATCAGTAGTTACGACACGTTGCCCGCATGTGTTTAAGACTTTCACACCTCTGACTCTTACATCTTGCATCCTTCAGAGCACGATGACCGTGTCGGTGGACCAAAGCATCGCAATCGTAAAGGCAGAGGCCCTTTCAGAGCCCCCTTGTACAGCGATCAGATTTCTCGGCCAAGGCAGCGAGGCGGTTACAGTGGTGGTGGTGGAGGAGGAGGAAGTGGCCCTGGTCCCCGGTCGAGACTGCATGATGATGATGGGGATGTGACCATGATGGAAGGTCCTCAAGACAGCGGTTCCCGGGGCAGATAGTAAGCTTGTGTGATGCATGCAGCATACTTCTACATATTTTCTTATGAAACCATCACGGTACAACAGACAAGATTTTATACTTTCAGCAATCCTTATGGCCGGCCACAGAATCGCCGCGAGGAACGCAATCGCAAAGGTGGACGAGGTGGTGGCGGCGGAGGTGGAAATGAAGATAGAGGTGGCAATCGATATGGAGGCAGAGTAGGTGGCAGTGGTACTGATGGAAGTCGCAAGAACTGGTTTAAAATGACCGTAAGTACATTAGACAATAGTAGCACATGAATTAAGTAGTTATTGACACCTTAGGATTTACTTGAAAGCATGTTTATGACCTAATGTCATTGTGGTTGTATTTGTATCTGACCACAGGTTCCTTTCGGGAAGAAGTACGACAAAGATTGGCTTCTGACTTCACTTCAGAACGAATGTTCTATGCCATTCCAAGCAGTTCAGGTAAGCCTGCGATAAAATATATTTCCTCAGCATGCCATTGAAAATGTACCGATATGTAAAATTGCTAAAATCTGTTCTGTCTTGTCATTTTTGGTCATAGTATCACACTGAGGGCGGCAAGGCCCAGTTTTATATTGAAGACTCCACTACTGCTAATGCCTTGTTTAAAGTGTCACGGAAAATAACAGACAAAGATGGATATAAGGTAAAAAAAAAAATGCTTTCACTAAACCTGATGCCATTTCCATAATCTTTCAGTGTTTGATGCATTTAGTCAGCATTCTAATTATATTTTATATTATATTATACGTTTCATCTGCAGATCTGTGTAAAAAAAAATTTATCATTGGTTTGACAATCTAATTGAGTGTTAATCTGTTGGATGGATAGGTTACTCTTGTTATGAACCCCTGCCCACCACCCACTTTGATTTACACTGATCTGAAGACCTCGGATCTGGAGCATTTGAAGGTGAGTTATAGTTACCTTCAGAAGCCTTCAAAAGGATTTTCTCATTAAATTTATTAGCGCGTAATATACCTGACTGTCTTCTGCAGCAATGCATGGCCAAACGCTTTGACGGATCACAGCAGGCTCTAGATCTGAACAACATCAGAGTCGATCCAGGTTTGACTTGCATACAGTCATCTTTTTCCAAAATTAAACATTTATTCGGCTTGGCTTGTTGTGGGATGTTGCTCAAATTTTCATCCTTTTCTGGCAGATTTGGTTTCTCAAAATATTGAGGTCACTTTAAATAGGAGGAACTCCATGCTGGCAGTTATCAAAATAATTGAGGAGAACATTCCTGAGGTAAGAAATGAAATTTTACATGTATGATTGCTTTTACATGTATGATTTCTAAAAAGCTCAACAGGCATGTACTCCATCCATTTTAAAGGGTGGGGATGATATGACAATTATATTTGATATTACAGTTTTAAAAACCCCAAATGTTTGAACAGTAGTGTAAATGAACTCTACAGATGCAATTAAATCTTTTTTTTTTTTTTTTTTAATTCACAGCTGGTTTGTCTCAACCTGAGCAACAACCGGTTATACAGGCTGGATGACTTGGCCGATATTGTCAACAAGGTTCCCAACCTGAAGATTCTCAATCTGTCACACAATGAGGTACGAGTATGCTGTCTGTTACCTATAGATTTACCTTTTCCTGTAGTCTTCTTAGTCATGCGTCATTGTGTCATCTTTTAGCTGAAGACAGAGAGAGAACTTGATAAACTGAGAGATCTGAAGCTGGTGGATCTCTCATTGGAGGGAAATCCTATGTGTGGCCACTTCAAGATCCAGGCCGACTATGTCAGGTTAGTCTTCTCAATTGTTGGTTGTCTGTTGAACATAAATCAAGAAAAATACTATATGCAAGTACACAAATGACTTTAAAAAAAGCAAATGTGCTTTTACATTATACTCAGCAGTAACAAGACTCTCTGCCTCAAACTATAGAGGTTGATATTAAAGAGAGAAATAGTTTGTGCTCATGTCCACTAAAGCACTCTGGCAGCACACATGTTGTATACAACACATACATGTTGCATCACATTTTGCAGTGTGACCAATTTAGGACCACACCAACAAAAAATCTAGCTTGCCCAGTGTCTGCTGTTACGTACTTGAGTAGAGTATGTTTCAGGCCTGAAATAAAATCTTTGAGGGTTTGTGTGGTTGTGCGCTCATGGACATGAAAGCATGCATATGCATGGACATTGGTATCAATACGCAAAACAGTTAACAAAAACGGTGTGCATCGATTATTAATAGCTTAATTTGAGACAGACATGTAATGTGTGTTGAACATTAAAAGTACACATTTCATTTTATTTATTCTGTAGGAATAACAATTGCCTGACAGGAAGCTGATGTGACATTTTGTAAGGACATTCTTTGTAGAAAGTGTCCTTTTTTTAAATATCACACTTGAAAACAATAAGCTGTTTCTTAATAATTGTCCCTAATCATTGCATGTTATTCTAAAGAAAAAAACAATCCCATCCGCCAGAGTCATTCAGTCCTGTCTGTAATATGCAGGTGTATTAACTCTTAACCAGTGAGCACTTGGTTATTTTCCACTAGTTCCACTATCATCAGGCATGTGATAATATTTACTTGTTCGTGTTCCAGT